AGGGGCCGGGGGCGGCGGAGGCAGCCCCGCCGCCGCAGCCCCGCGGCGGGCGGCCGGGCGGGACGATGCCGGTGATGAAGGGGCTGCTGGCGCCGCAGAACACCTTCCTGGACACCATCGCCACCCGCTTCGATGGCACACGTAAGGCCGGGACCGGGCCGGGGAGGGGCCCCGGGGGCGGGGGGGGAGACGGGGCGGGGGGAGGCGCTGCCCCGCAGGAACGGCTCGGGGGACGGGACTCGGCCGGGCCGCGCAGCCCCCGCGGCTCGACCGGACGCGGCCACCCACGCGCTGTTCGAGGACCCTTCCGTGTAGCCTCGGTACACCGGGACTCCCCCTGTCCGTGTCCCGGGCCGCCCCCACGATGCTCTCCCCGCGCCCACCGCCGGTGCCGCTCGGTGTCGCCGCAGCCGCGCTCAGCACCAGGGACAGATCCCGGTGGCGGCGGGAGGCTCCGCGCGGGGCCCCGGAGGAGCGGGGGAGCCCCGGAGGGGGCACGGCCGGTCTTACACTGCCGGAGCTGACCTGGGATCCCCGGGGCCCCGCGTTGCCCCGTCCCGTGCCCGAGCGGTCCCCGGGCGCTGATCTCCCTCCCCTCCGTGTCCGTGTGCCGGGGCCGGGATGGATTGAAACCGGGATGGATCATGCTCGGGTGCCACGAGTCAGCTCCAGCACCGCTGGCATCATGCAGCCACCTGGGGTCGGGCCGTGTTCGGGGCTGACCTCAGCTTCCCCCAGGATCACCTGGAGTAGGGGTCTCCCGGGCCAGCTGCCTGCGGGGCTGGGTTTCTCCTCCCTTGCTGGGAGGGACTGGCATGAAGATGGCACTTTTAGTCTGCGGCCATTTCCCAGGACACCGTCGAAGAACCTGGAGCACCCTGGGGCATGTGCTGGATGCGATGCTGGGCTGGCTCCTGGCCTGGAGTGACAAGGAGCCGCCCTGGTGGCTCAGGGGTCGTTTACCCAGAGGAACCTGGACGTGGGATGTTACATTTGGGGTGTAACTCGTGAGGAGGCAGCTAGCCTCTGAGTTTTCCCAGGCTCCAACCGAGCTGCGTCTGGAGGTGCTGGGACAGAGCCACATGTGCCTTGCGCTGGTGATCCCACTCCCTCCGCAGAGGCAGAGCGCCTGTATCCGGCTCTCCAAGGGAAGGGTCCCCAGGGGAGCTGCCTGCAACACCTCGAGGCAAAGCCCTGGGAATTTGCCCCGGGGAACCGGGCTGCCCGACTGCCTCTGGGCACTTTTAAACAGTGTGGGGCTTTGCAGGTTTGATGTGCCTCTTATCGGCTTTATCTGCCATAGAGAGGGTTTTAGTGTAGTGATACTTAGAGTGAGTTAACCCTGCCTCTCCCGGGCAGCTGCAGGGCTGTGCCCCGGGGCTCCTGGACAGGCACGCTGGCCACCATGGCTGGGGGCTGCCGAGCTCCCCAAGGCTGCATCCTCCAGCTCGGTGGAGCCACTCCACAGTGCAAACCCTTGTTTTCTTTTCTAATAACACATCCTGGACATCACCATAATCCCAGCTCCCCAGAGCCAAAATCTGGCCTTAGTCACAGCTTCGGGCTATTTTTGCTTCTCCAAGCTAATCCCGGGCTGAGCTGTGCTGTGGTGGCCCCCCTGCACCCCCTTCAGCCAAGGCTGCCTGTGGCCACCATCCCCTCCCTCCTGCAGCCTCTGCTGCCCTTGGCCTGCCCTGGCACCACTCTGCCTGCTCAGTGTGGGCACTGGCATTGCTGTGGGCTCCTCTCTGTTGTGAGGGGGGGCAGAGCATGTTTTCTTGCTCCTGGCTGTGTCGTGCAGGAGTCCTGGGCTGGGGCCCCACCACTGGAGACCGTGGTGGGGCTGGGGACAGCCCAGTTTGCCCATGCTGGGTGCAATCACAGCCCATGCCAGCCCCACACCCACTTCCTTGGTACCCTGCTAGTGTGAGCCCATCTGTCCCACTGGCACAGGGCCTGCAGCAGGAGCTGCTGTGGTCCCAGGACAGAGCCCACGGCTGGGGACTGCAGGACAGAGCTGCCATTCTGTAGCTGGGCAGGGCATGGAGCTTGTGAGGGCTTTACTGTGCCTGGTGCCATCTCCCTGCTAGGGCAGGGTGATGCTGGGGAGGCTCCATGGTGCTGACAGACTGAGGATGCTGTAGTTCACCTCTGGCTCGTGCCACCTGGGCACAAGCCCTTGACTTCACCCAGGCCTGTGGGTGTTCTCCCACCCTCTCAGCTGGTGCTCCAGCATCCCAGACCTCTGGGGATCTCAGCACCACAGCTGGGCACCCCTGGGCTGGCAGTGCCCAGCTGTGTTTGCTGCTGCTCTCGCTAAGCTGCCTGAGCCCGGGCGGAGCTGGAGTGGCAGATGGTGAGAGGGAGGCGTGAGTCGCCTCGCGTGGGCAATGGGGGCCGGCACATGGATCAGGGCTACTTCCCCTTCCAGTGCATGGGGCCGGGGTCCTGCCTGGGTGATGGCCTCGGGGGCAGTGGGGTAGGGGATGAGTGAGCTCTAGGAGCAGCTAGGGGCAGACAGCAGCCAGATGGAGACCTGGCTCTGCTTCCCAGGGCGACCCGTGTGGGGCTGGGAGTGCTGGGCAGGCTGGGCTGCCCTTTGTGCCCTGTGAGGTGGCCCTGAGCCCTCAGGGGCAGCTGCGTCTCCTTTCAGACAGCAACTTCATCCTGGCCAACGCGCAGGGCCGCTGTGGCTTCCCCATCGTCTACTGCTCCGACGGCTTCTGCGACCTCACCGGCTTCGCCCGCACCGAGGTCATGCAGAAGAACTGCAGCTGCCGTTTCCTCTGCGGGGCTGAGACCAGCGAGCCCATCCTGCAGTGCATTGAGAAGGCGCTGGACGACAGGCAGGAGTACCAGTCCGAGGTCTGCTTCTACAAGAAGGGTGGTGAGTGGCACTGGGGCTGGGTCCCTGCCCACAGCTCCGGCTGGCCCTGGGAGAAGCCACCAAGCAGGTGGTGCTGCCCTGCCTTCACCACCCTCTTCCTCCACGCAGGAGATGCCTTCTGGTGCTTGCTGGACATCATGCCCATCAAGAATGAGAAGGGGGAGGTTGTTCTCTTCCTCTTCTCCTTCAAGGACCTCACAGAGAGCCGGGGCAGGAGCCAACCGGGGGACAAGAAGGAGGGTGAGCCATGGCTGTGGGATGGGGATGAAATTTGGGGAGCAGTGTGTGTGGTGGGCACGTGGCAAAGAGACTCCCTGTTCCCTGGTGGGTCCTGCCTGCCATGTACACCCACGGCACAGCACTCCCACTAACTCAATGTGTCCTGTCTGCTGCAGAGAAGCAGAGGAACAAGAAGCCTGGGAGTTCCCACCTGCGGGCCGCACGCAGGCAGAGCCGAACTGTGCTGCACCGACTCAACAGCCAGTTTGTCCGGAGGGACCGCAGCGAGGTGAAAATCAACCGTGTAAGGACCTGGGGGACCCTCAGCTTCACCCAGTGCCTCCTGGGCTGGGGCTGTGATGGACTGGCAGTGCAGCAGCTCTCCCGGAGAGCAGCTTCCAGCAGAGCCCATACTCCTGGGGATGCTGTTCCCACACATGCCCATCCCTGATCTCCCCAGCATTGAAGTGCTCCCCATCCTTGGCAGCTGCACCATAGCCAGGCTGCACATGTGTTTGGCTGGGAGCAGGAGAGCCCAGTGGGTGCCCAGAGCTTGCCATGGGAGCAGCAGACCTGGCAGCTCTGGCAGGGTTGTGCCTCTCCTCACATGCTCGCTGTCAGGAAAACCCAGTGCTGGCTCTGAGCACAGCCATGCTGGCCCCAGGGAGTGCCGTTACCAGGCTGCCAGAGCCGTGGGGCTGCCAGAGCTGTGGGGCTGCCAGCCAGGGCAGGGACTAGAGTCAGTCCTGTGCCAGGCCCTTTGCATGGCTGCAGTACCCAACACAGGGTCCCCAGGCACCACCTGCAGCCATGGGGCCAGAGAGAGGGGCTGAGAGCCACTGGGACCCAGAACTGGTGAGCAAGCAAAGGGTGTCACTGCATCAATCTTGAATTTTGGGGATTTGGGGTGGGATGGCCCTGGCTCTGCCCTCACCCAGCTGGTGTCACATTGCCTCTTGTCAGTGCTGTGTCCCTGCAGGGGGGGTCTCTGCCCCAGCACATGAATTGGCCCCTGAGATGGTTCTGGGCAGCAGCTGGCGGTGCCAGGGGATTACTGTTATTAGCATTGACATCGTGTTAATTGATGTGCCGTAATCAGGCATTCTGTACCCACCTCTGAGGGTGACATCAGTGCATCCATCACCCTGGCATCAGGGAATGGCAGCCAGACTGGCAGGACTCAGGAGGAGCGGGGCCTGTGGTGGCCCTCACCCTCTTGCAGGCCTTGCACGATCCTTGTACCACCCCATGCTTGCTCCCCCAGAACGTGTTTGAGGGCAAGCCATCCATCCCCGAGTACAAGGTGGCCTCGGTGCAGAAGTCCCGCTTCATCCTGCTCCACTACAGCATCTTTAAGGCGCTCTGGGACTGGCTGATCCTGATGGCCACCTTCTATGTAGCCATCACCGTCCCCTACAATGTGTGCTTCATGGGCATGGAGGACAGTCTCTCGGCTGCCCGCAGCACCATCATCAGTGACATCGCTGTGGAGATGCTCTTCATCCTGGGTAGGTCCATGTGTGGAGCCAAGCATCCATCCGGGACGGGGGACACGGTGGGACAGGGATGAGGGGTGGGGGAGAGGGGAACTGGCATTGCAGTGCCTCTGCTGCTGCCCCTGAGCACTCTGGGAGAGAGACCCATGTTCGCTGTGGGCTCTGGCTCAGCTTCCAAGCCACAGCAGGGGTGATGAGGGCTGGTCCTGCTCTCCTGGGGCAGACATCATCCTGAACTTCCGGACAACATACGTGAGCCAGTCAGGCCAGGTGGTGTACGACCCCCGCTCCATCTGCATCCATTATGTGGCCACCTGGTTCTTTGTGGATCTGATTGCTGCTCTGCCTTTCGATCTGCTCTACATCTTCAATGTGACCGTGGTGAGTGTTGCTGGCACAAATGCAGCCTCCTATAGCAAAGCTACAGCTGCCCGCTGCCCCTCCCACTGCCCACCTCCCTGCCCCTCTCCAGCACCCATGTATCCCCAGGGGATTCTGTGCCCTGACAAGCCGTGACTCCGGCTGCCTGCTGGGTGCTGGGCATGGGGGTGGAAGGCTGCTTGGGGAGGAGCTCTCCCCAGCAGACCCCACAGCCCACAACCCTCCTGCCATCTGTGGGAGTGGCAAAGGGTCCCTGTCCCGGGGAGGGGTGTTGGGGTCTGTTTCTGCCCCTGCCTGTAGCTCCGCCAGGTTTACCTGCCTGCCTGCCCCCCAGACCTCGCTGGTTCACCTGCTGAAGACGGTGCGGCTGCTGCGGCTGCTGCGGCTGCTGCAGAAGCTGGACCGGTACTCGCAGTACAGCGCCATGGTGCTCACGCTGCTCATGTCCATGTTCGCGCTGCTGGCGCACTGGCTGGCCTGTATCTGGTACGTCATCGGCCGCAAGGAGCTGGAGAGCAACGACCCCCGCACCTGGGAAATCGGTGAGCAGGTTTGGGGTGCCGGGGTCCCCCCCTGCCGCGGGTAGAGAGCACTCCTGTGGGGCAGTGGTGCAGGGGGTGCAGCCCTCACCATTGGCTCCTGCCCACAAAGGGAGGCTGGGGCAGGGACAGCCCCGGGAAGGGGGGTACTGGCCCCTGGGTGAGGGCTAACCCCGGGCTGTGCTTGGCAGGCTGGCTGCACGAGCTGGGCAAGAGGCTGGAGGCTCCGTACTTCAACAACTCGATGGGGGGCCCCTCCATCCGCAGCACCTACATCGCCTCCCTCTACTTCACCCTCAGCAGTCTGACCAGTGTGGGCTTTGGCAACGTCTGTGCCAACACCGACGCCGAGAAGATCTTCTCCATCTGCACCATGCTCATCGGGGGTGAGGCGGGGAGCAGGGCTGGGTGGGGGGGCTCACCTCTGGCTGCTGGAGCAACGGGTCCCGAGCAGGGTGGTAGGGGAGGTGATGGACACGTGTGCCACGTGAAACAGCCCTGGGTTGCGGTCTGGGGAGCAGCCTCCTGTGCTACCCCTCACCGGGCCTGACGCTGCCCTGCCGCCCCCAGCGCTGATGCATGCCGTGGTCTTTGGCAACGTCACAGCCATCATCCAGCGCATGTACTCCCGCCGCTCGCTCTACCACACCCGCATGAAGGACCTCAAGGACTTCATCCGCGTCCACCGCCTGCCCCAGCAGCTCAAGCAGAGGATGCTGGAGTACTTCCAGACCACCTGGTCGGTGAACAATGGCATCGATGCTAACGAGGTAGGAGGTGTTGGTGAGGCTGGGCCAGCCCCCTCTGGCCCGGTCCTACACCCAGCACAGGGGTGATGGGGCTGGCAGGGCCAGCTGTGAGTGTGGCACTGGAGGGACAAGGTCTGGGGCCGATTCCTGCCAGCACAGGGAATGGGACAGGTACACAGAGTAGAGGCAGCCCACCACCACATCCAGGGCCCTTCTCTGCCAGCTGGGGCTGCTGGGTTCTGCTGAGGCACCAGGGCAGCCAAGCAGAGAGATTCCCTGATCCAGAGGGGCACCTGTCCCCTGGGGCTGCAGGGCTGTGGGAAGGCTTCTCCCTGCTCCCTCCCTGCCTGCTATGCCCAGCACCCTGGCTCCTCTCCCCAGCTGCTGCACGACTTCCCCGATGAGCTGCGCGCGGACGTGGCCATGCACCTCAACAAGGACATCCTGCAGCTGCCCATCTTCGAGACAGCCAGCCGGGGCTGCCTCCGCTCCCTCTCACTCCACATCAAGACCTCATTCTGCGCCCCAGGGGAGTACCTGCTGCGCCAGGGCGACGCGCTGCAGGCCAACTACTTCGTCTGCTCCGGCTCCCTCGAGGTGCTGAAGGACAACGTGGTCCAGGCCATCCTGGGTGAGGGCAGGCGGCGTGGGCTCTGCCCCAGCCCCTCCTGCTGCCCGGCAGGGTGAGGGCCCCAGGGCTCACACCGCTAGCCCACCTTGGTCCCCTCCTGCAGGCAAAGGGGATTTGATCGGTGCCGACCTGTGCAGCACGGACCAGGTGATCAAGACCAACGCGGATGTGAAGGCGCTGACCTACTGCGACCTGCAGCACATCGGGCTGCGGGGGCTCTGCGAGGTGCTGCAGCTCTACCCTGAGTACGCCAGCAAGTTCACAGCTGACATTCACCAGGACCTGACCTTCAACCTGCGGGAGGGCAGCGAGATGGAGGTGGGTGCATGCCCTGTCTCGCAGGCCCCTTCCCGTTCTCGTGGCCCAGGGGACCAGAGCAGGGCTGGGACTGTGGCACAGCCATGGAAGGGGGGTCTCTGCACCCCATGCTCACGGTCCCCAGGCTCCAAGGCTGGGGTGGTGGCTGCGGCTCTGCCACCCCTGTGTACAGGTACATACTGTCTTAGCTCTGTGCAACCTGGGGAATTGGCAAAAAGAGCATTTGCAATGCAGAAGGCTGAGGCAGAGGGAACTGAGGGGGCACTGCAGGATAAGCAGCTGGGGCACAGCCCCCCAGAGTGCAGGAGACAGCCGGGGGCTGCAGGTTTAGTCATGCTGATGGCTTCAGCAGCTGGGGGGATGTTCTGCGGCAGAAATGGCTCTGCAGCACTTTTCCTCCCCCAACTCTGCTGTGAGAGGCTGGGGGCTCCTCCAGAGCATCTCTCCCAGTACCCACTGCCCACAGGCCCGGTGGAGGTGGGGTGGGAGGTTGTTCTCTAGGTCCCAAACAGCCCTACCAAGACCCATCATGTCCATTGCACAGGAGAGGTGTAAACAAATCAGGGACAGAGGATGCCAGGAGTGTGCACCAGGTCCTGCAGAAGCCCAGTCACCCTCCTCATCTGGCTGCACCCTCCAGGCAGAGATGGTGCTCTGATGGCTGAGCCTGGGATGGGATTTAGGACAAAGTCTTAGCTCTGGTTCAGGCAGTTCACCATTGTCACAGCAGCAGCAGAGAAAGGAGAGTGGGCAAGGGGCTGCCGAAGGCTGGGGCTGGGGCTGATGTGTGCGGCTGGAGGAGGTTTGGCTGTCCAGGGGGGCACCTAGAGACCAGGGGGTTGTGGCCTGTAGCCGGTCCCGGTGCAGCCGTGCGGGGGTCCCACCTGCTGCTGAGCCGGTGCCGTCTGCTCTCTCCGCAGGGGCTCTGCCGCTACTCCCGGTCCCCGCGGCTGCCGCAGGTTTGTACCGTGCCAGGGCGATGGGGGAGGACGGGGCGGGGGTGGTCATGCCCTGGACCAGCCCTGATTTCCTGCCCAACCGCAGCCTCGTCCGGAGAGCGGTGCTGCCCCGGAGAAGCCCCTTCCCTCTATTCTGGAGGATGAGGAGGAACTCGACGAGGTCTTCCAGCAGTCGCCCGCCAGCCCCCCCCCGCCGCAAGCTGCTGCTGCCCCAGCTGAGCAGCCCGGCGCGCCGCGGCTCCCTGAGCAGCCTCCTGGGCGATGAGCTGTGCCAGGTCTCAGCCCTACGGCGCAACTGCCGCTCCCCGGCCCGCGGCAGCCGCGGCCGCAGCCCCTCTCCGCAGTGCCGGCGGGACGCCCGGCTCCCGGAGCGGGATGGCCGGAGGCCGGCCAAGCTCCTCATCCCGTCCCTGCACGCCAGCGGCCCCCCGGACCTCAGCCCCAGGTACGGCTGGGACGTGCTGGTGGCTCGTCCCACTGCTGCGGGTTTGTGCCCGCCAGGCTGCGAAGGGTCCCGGGGTGCTGCTGGAGGTGGTAACAGAGGGAGGAGGGGGTGGTGCGGGGCAGCTCTCACCCCCTCCCTCTCTAGAGTCGTGGATGGGATTGAAGACAACGGGGGGACATCAGGGCCACAAACCTTCTGCTTCAACGTGGACCCGCCGCTGCCGAGCGCGACGAGGGACTCCCCCACCTCAGGTACCGCCAGCAATGCCGGCCAATGCCAGGGCTCTGGCCCCGGGGTGGGGAGCTCGGGGAGCCCTCTGCCACCAGCCGTGTCTCCCCCGTCAGGGACCGACGTGGGCTGCCCAGCCCTGGCGATGGAGGCAGAGCAGATAAAGCAGAACATCAGCAGGCTCAACCAGGAGGTGCGGCGGCGACCAGGGGTGGGCACGCGTCCCCGGGAGCCCCGGGGGCACCGCCCGGTGCTCACTGCTCTTCATCCCTTCCAGATCAACCATCTCAACCAGGAGGTCTCGCACCTCAGCCGGGAGCTGCAGGGCATGATGGAGCTGCTCAAGGGTCACCTGGGTGCCCTGCAGCCCCCCGCCTGCCCCTGCCGCCTGCCCGTGGCAGTCCCGACGCCTCCCCGGCTCCCGCCGCCCGCTACCTCGGTGCCGTCCTCGCCTCCCGTGCCCCCCTCGCCCCCGGTGCCCCCCAGCTCCCGCAGCTCCCCCTCCGCCAGCCCCCGGGCGAAGCGCTGTCCGGTCCGCAGCCTCTCTGCCCACGCCACCGCCCTGCGGCACCCCTGGGTCGGAGCCGAGGGGCCGAGCCCGCCGCGGGGGAACCCCCCCGGCCCCGATCCCCGCCGGGGCTCGGATTCGCAGCCTCCCCCGCTGCCGCCCCGCTCCGCCCTCTCCTTCCCCGGCTGCTCGGCCGGGGCTTGGCCCCGCGCCCGCCCGGAGCCGCGGTCCGGCTCCACTAGCTCCCACTGACCCCGCGGGCACCGGGGGCCGGGATCGGGGGAGCCGGGACCGGGGAGACCCCGCCGGGGGGACCCTGCCCAGGCTGACCGTGCTCCCCGCCCCCGGGGCCCCCCGGGACGTCGCGCTCCGAACTCTTGCAGGGATTTTGATACGGTTTTATACTCTTCGCCCACGGGGCCTTTCTCACAGCCCAGCCGGGCTCGGGAGGGGCGGGCGGCGGGGACTCGGGGGGGGACCTGGAGGCTGAAATCCCTCGTGGATCCGGGAGATCCCCGGGAGGGTCTCCAGGGGTCACGGACGCTGCCGCCCCTCCGCCGCTGTAGTTCCCGTGGTTCTGCCCCGCCCCTCCCGCGTCCCCCGCCACATCGGGAAATAAAGGCTCTATTTTTCCAGCCTCGGCTCCAGTGAGTCTCCGCCCTGCCCGGGGCCGCCCCGGGTGCCCCCCGCTCCCGGTCCGCCCGGACACTCTGGACTACAACTCCCAGCAGTCTTCGCGGACGCGCAATGACGTCACGCCCTGCTAACGTGGGGGCGGGGCGCTCTAGAGGAGGCGGGGTCCCCCCTAGGCGGGGCCAGAATGATTGGCAGTTCTCGCCGCCTGTAGGCGCAGGGAGGGGGCGGAAGGGGTGGGCGGATCCGGAAGCGGAACGGGTAAAGGCGGAAGTGAGGGCCGGGGCCTGCGAGACGCACCGGCGGCGGCGGGAGCGGCGCTGCGGGCGGTG